ATAAAGACCTCAAAGTTCACAGTACTGGAGTATGTATTCAGTTACTTTCCAGACTGCAATATGGTTAAAGTGTAGGACATTGGATTCTTTCTCACATTATCTAACATTTCTTTTGTCTGCTGAAACACAGCGAGTTCTTTCGGTCCCTGCAATCAGCTCCAAGGAGAGCGAGGAATGAATTAATCCCGAAATAAATTCACTGTAGTTTACTCCTCCCATAGAACTTAATAGCTCAGTTTGCATTAATCACTTCCAGTGAAAAGGTCTGTCAGTCCTCGTAGGTCTCCACTCCCACAGCTATGCCTGTATATCAGTCTCTGGCCTCACAAAGACTGTCTCAGCCTCGAAAATACCATGACTCAATGTCCAGTACCAGGCTCCACTGTCATTACAGCCCTGCGGGGTGGAGGACACCACTTACCGTGTCAAGCAGTATTTACAGAAAGTGTTAATGTTGTTTCTGTTGTGTTGATATAAGGAGGGAGCTGCAGGAAGGGAGGACAGATGATGGAATGCAACTGGTTTGCTGCTCCAAAAGTTTACTCTCAAGAAAAGCTGCCTTGATCTTTGCTTGATTACTGTGCAGTTTGGCTTGGTTTAAACACAGGGTTTGAAAACCTTTCTGCTACAGAGTTGGTATGATTTTCTCAACCATAAAAAACTGCAACATATAAAGCTGATGCAGATCATGGTGTAAGATCAAGTGTAAATATTAACTCAATGCTAGATAAAGACAAGCATGTGATTTAATATAAGAGTGGCCCTGCAGAAGACATACCCCAAACTAAATTTAACTAAATGTTAAATATATTTTTCTCAAAGATGGTATCTGTCATTGCAGGTAGCTCTTACGGTGCTAATGATTGTTCAGGTGTTAATTTTGTTTTAATTAGTTATTTGATGCATTCAAAAATGAGAAGAAATGTCCTGATTGACAGCTGAGACTGACTCACGATTAGTGGAGTGTATGTTTGGGCGTGACTTCGATGCAACAGCTCAAAACCACAGTCACTACTGCTCAGACTATGGCACCAAATGACCTCAATAGAAGGCCGCACCGTTTACATCGTTAGCTTAACCTTATATTTACGCTGTCTGCGGCCCATGGATTGGATATACGTACATGAAGTGTTGCTGTGGAGTTCATGGCACTGAACAGGGATGAGAATTAGAGTGTCATGTTCACATCACTGCTGATTGGAGCTGCAGTTGTCTTGCTTTATTAACGTGGGGAGGGCCAACAGGGTTCACAGGGAGGGACTCACATGCACTAATGTAAACATGAACTCAAACCGGCTGCAACAACAAACGGAGAAGCTCTGATTACAACAGGCAGAGTTCACAGTATGAGTCAGTGTCTGCACACTGTGTGCTATACGGTATCTTATTTAGAAGGTAAACTGTGTTTGCATATGGCGTCTGCAGAATTTACAGTGAAAGTATTTCCATGTGTGTCCTCAAACCGGATTTACTTTACTTTGAGACCATGTCAGCAGTCAAACTAATCTGTGTTAAGTGGCAAACAACTTTCTGTTGAGAAAGTGAGGAATAATGTGAGGCTGCAGAGTTCAGATTGCTCCTAAACACAACGTGAGTTAAAGCCCACATGATTTAACACATAACACATTTTGCACATTTCACAAATGCCTCGAAAAATCTGACATCAATAGAATACTCTCTTTCCTGAATTCTTGAATGCAGGCATTTGTGTCCCGATAAATATACTTGCTGTTGAGCCACATTTTCACTTAAGACATGTCTGCAACGTGCACGCTGAAAGCTTTTGATACTTTGTTGGGGGGAAACAGACACTAGTTTGAAGAACTTGTCCAAAATGATTTCTCTCTGGATAATAGTCTTCTTGTTGGGGTTTGAATGAATGCTGCCTTATGATCAACATGAACTTCTTTTGTGCTAACACATAGAGATGTTCACATGAGGACGCGTTCTCTGTTCAGCTTTTGTGGGCCTTCAAAGCTGGGTGTCTTCAGCGTCCCCAAAAACAAAAAAAATCAGTGTCGCTCTGCTGACCAAACATAAAACGGGACCATTACAAAGGTTGAACTGTTTTACCCCTCTTCACCCTCCCACCCTTTCTTTTGGCAGAAACAATGTTGCTGCATTACTCGACTGTTATCGTTCCCCCCCGATGATTTTTTCTGTAGAATTTTTTACTTCTCTTGTTTGAACAGATGCCGCCCCCCCTCCTGTAGCCCCCCATCCTCCGGGACTGCCATACGGCCGAGTACAATGAGGTAACACTCATTACATTAATGTTAAGAGTCCAGCCCAGTCATTTCCTTCCACCGAGCAACTTCAAACGACATGATGTATATCACTTCCAGACAAAAATCTGTCCTCTTTTGTCCGACTTTATTTATGAATGGATTATGAAAGAGACGGCTGGATGACCGCGCTCACCTTTCAGTCCCTCGACTGCGGCTCATACACCATTTGATAGCAGCATGAATCGTGGCCACCATGCAACCTCAAATGAACCCTCGGTCAATGAGAAACAGATCGCTGGGGAAAGAGGAGAGCTTTCCCAAGACTGAATTAGATTGATTTCAGAAAAGAGCTGGGTGAATCTAAGAATGACTGGTTGAGGAGTGGACACAGATTAAGTCTCTTGTCTCATTAGCTAACCTGGTATTGGACAAGGCATCTCGGCCACTATAGCCTTCCGGGTGCTCTTGATATAAGCAGCTCATGTTGTCTGTAAATACAGACTGAGGTGGCTGAAGAATTCCCAGCGTCCTGTTTCAGCCTCACACGGGTCAGATGCTGCTGGTGCCACAGAATCCAGACGCCATCGAAGAGTCCCAAAGAAATGTCACTTTTGACCTTGTCTGACTTTAAAGCTTGATCACATTCCGTGTTCTTGTGAAGACTTGATGGCATTTACAGGTGTGAAACCTTTACACATGTGCATTTCAGGTTCAAGGTAATTGTACAGTGCTCATCAGGGCGTGTGTATTTTAAAAATGGCTTCCACAGCTACAAGCCCCCTGGTGCAATGTCACACTTTGATGATACCACTTTTACGTATTCCCACTGAAAAGAAATTAGAATTGCACTTCATACTTTTCAGTGAAGTGCTGAACAGGACAAACTGAACAGTTGCTTCGAACAAAAATCAATATTCACAGCTCTTTTCCAACCAGCGGACGAGTGCTGCATGTCACTGATCTCTGTTTTTTGATGCGCTGAAGCAAATTGATTTTCCAAGTAGCAGCAATGTGAACGTCAGGGCTGTTTGTCCTTTTGCATGTCACACGGAGAATTTACAACATCTACACTCCCATTACAGATTATAACATGTCTTTCCCAATGAGGAAGTGTTTGCTCTCAGAGTAATGTCTGAGCATTATATCCAATTCACAAACAACTGCATCCATGTGTTTTTGACATGACTGCTGGTTGTGAGACTAAGGGATCTCTGCACACACACGTTAAAGGCTCCACGCTACAGTTGCAGTTAGACCCAGTTTGTGCTCGCTCATGTAGAAACAAACTAGCAGGTCACAGCAGTAACCATCAGTGTTTCAAAGTAGTCAACGAGGAATGTTTGAAAAAAGATAGTTTAAAAAGCTCTCGGCCCTGTCGTGAAGGGCTCTCATTCTCACCAGTAATCTGTCCAGGTAACTAGATGTAGACTTTTATGATTCAGAACACAATTTACAGAGAAATAGATTTAAAATATATTTTTTACCATTGAGCACATGGATACAGGTCTGGGTTCTGGAGAAAGGGGTTTTTTTAGACGACCTTCAACAGTTTTCCTCTGCAATCTAACGTGTGGTTGCACACGAGGAGCACAAACGGGGTCAAACTGTGCTGTAACGTTTAACATTTTTTAAAAATGTCTGCAGGGGCTGTAGCCTGTGTGTCTTTCCACGTCAAAGAGAATAATTTGAAAATCGCCTGGAGGTTGTCAAACCTTTGCAAACAGCTGTAAGCGTGAGTCCACTGAGGTGCTTATCATTTGAGCGTAAAATCTACTCCACTCATATAAATGTTTATGTGCACAAGTCTTTTTGGGCCCAAAACTGTTTTTCACATCAATTCTATCAACAATAACGCTGCCAGCTATAACAGCGACTTTTTCCTCTTCACGGGAAGCACCTAAGATGTTCTCCGGCTCTTAAGATTTATGCGTTTTCGATATTTAGTGGTGGTTTGAGTCACCGTGGCCATAATGCGGACTGTAAATCATGCACATTTTCTCTCTTCTCCCACCACACAGGCATGTGTGGTTTAGGTGGGCTCCAGGAGCGGTGGCTCCACATCCTCCTGCAGCAGAGCATCACTTCGCCCGGTTCCCCCTTTATAGGAGCCCCGCCCTGAAATCAGTCGATCACGTTCAGCATCGCACTCGCACGCGTCAGACCAATCAGCGCGCAGAGGGAGCGATGGTCCGGGAGGGCGGCGGCCAATCAGAGCAGCCGCTGGTCGGACAAAGAGCCCACGTCAGCGGTGGACGGTGGTTTGAATGGCTCATTATTCATGTGCACGCTGGGCTTATTTAAGGAGCCGCGATGAGGCGAGATCGCGGGGACTTTATAAAAAGGAGGAGGTTTTGTCCGACCGTGTGCACATTCGAGGACCACAACATCTGTGTCGCATCGATGTAAAATAGTTAAAAACACCGTCCCAGACGATCTGTGTTGCACCGATTTACGCACGATAAGCTCATTAAAAGATCGCCAGGTCGATACTACTTGCTGCTAATTCATCCAATAACCCTGCAAGCCTGGTGAATTACAAACTAGTTTAAAGCTCAAAATATCAGCTGGTTGAAATAAAACAAAATAAAATTATATAAACGACGCCAAAACTCAGACTGTGCGTAAAAGCGCGCTCAAACTAAGGCACGATTGAGAAAGATAATTGTTTTATTATATGAGTGTTTGAAAAGTGGTAGTGACTTCACTCGTGTAAAAAAAATTCACAATCACACAACCTCTTCTTCTTTCTTTTTTTTTCCTGGTTACACACACCCACCGCCCAGGCATCCTCCCCCAAAACGACGCTGTTCGCCCGGCAGTGATCATTAAAGCATAGAGGAAGGGGAGGAGGTGGACAGCTCTACTTCTACGTCCTGACGTGACGAGAGTCGCTGGTTCATTCCACCACCGGTGCGAGCAGCACAGCTTCTCAATCTGTCTCCTCCGACGCGTAATCTTTATAATTTCTTTTTCAAAAAACCAAGTGCCAACCTTCTTTTGTTCCGGCATCCAGGGGATAGAAGTTCAGAGCCCCAGCTGCTGCTCCGAAGACGACGGCTCCGGTGGTTCACTCTCCCACACGCCTCGCCTTTCGCTGTCCTATTTTATTTCATTTCTGGGGGAAGTTAACATCGACTTTCGTGAAGTTTTTTGTTGTCGCTTTAACCCGGAGAGGACAACACAACCACCCGGCATCATGACACGGAGATCTTGTGCCATTTACGCCACAGGCATCGTGTGCGCTCACCTCCTGATAGTGGGGATCGCCCTGGTCGTGGCTCAAGTCTTCCAAACAATGATCCACAGCCGGTTAAAAAAGGTGAGTTGTACCAAATTTGAAAGATAATTGTAACCTTAAAAACACGGTTCTCGTTTCACGCCTTTTCCATCTGTCACACTTGAGGGATTTCATGTTAAGTCGTCTCATCCGCAGTGGCCAATCATGCTGCATTCGGCATCCGCACCGGTGGTGCTACACGCAGGGTCACACGACCCTCCGGTGCAGTGCGAGTGTTTTTTTTTAAATCTGTAAATACAATGATGGTGATTTCTGTTCAGCTGCATTCTGCACCTCCAGCCTCGCGGGATGGACCCAAACCATTCCCAGCCCCCTCGTGGATCCGTATGATCCGAGGTTGAGCAGCGTGTAAGTCCCAGTGTGTAGTTGTGCAGCTTCGGGGTTTTCGTGATTCAAGCTTGCATAGAGACGGAGGATTTATCCGCATGTACGTTTTTAACGTTTGGCAAAATGCATAATATGCTTTGTGTAGAAACGCACGCACAAGAGGAGGAGAAGGACTTAAACCCCACTCCATGTTGTTTTTTATATTTCCTCTGACTTGATGTGACAGGAGTCAATCAGCTTCTTAGCATACGCGTGTGGAAATATAGGGCAAATGGCACTGTGTGTGTTTTTTGTGTTTTTTTCCCCTCCATGGCTGATACCTGTGCTCATGACCCGGTGACACATTTCTGCAGATGCTCGATGCACAGACTGTTTTGAGAAGCGTTGCCCAAGAGTAGTAGTTGAAATCTCAGCCAGCAAGGACACGCTAGGTTGGGGGAGGGAGGTGTGCGGGTCTGGGTGGTATGGATGGGGGGAAGGGAGCCTGGGCGAGTGGGCTGGCGAATCAGTGGCGTCCCTGACATCGAGTGGTAGATTTTGAGTAAGTTTATCAGATGCTCACCTTTCTGCAAACCCAGCGTCCAACATGAACTGACCGGACACAAATGCATTAATGTGATATGTGCATTATCTTTCTCATAAGGGTTTAAAGCTATTTTTAATGGTTAAAAAAAAAGCTGTGACTCAAATGTATGGGTGTTCAGTGTGCTCTCCTAACCCTGCTAATCTGTGCAGAGTTGCACTAAGATCCTGCAAATTGCACAGAATCGACTACAGCATTCACTCTTTTCACCCACACCTCCAGAGTCAGCTCAGCATGCAGGGCGGTGATCATGTGACAGTTAGATTGATGTTATCATTTGCTTTTTGCTGCCATCAAAATAAGGGAAACAGCTGTAAATTTGTGCAGAAAGACGCCCACATTAGTGTATGAAGTGAATTATATATATTTATATTATATCTATGTGTACAGGAGTGCTGGGGTGGGGGTCTTGGCATTTGACACCCTATCCCACCCGGCTTTCCCACCGCTGCCGCCTGCCCTCACATTCCCACCTCACATTCCTCTTTTTGCCATGAATGGTGGATGCTCTGTGAAACTCATGATCTGGACTCAGAAATCTCCCTCACAATGTCGCTTTCACTCCGCACTGCCTTAAGACGAAGATGAAAAAAAAATCCAGAAAACAGCTCAGCAAAAAAGCTTGATAGACTATTTGTCCAAGTTGGAGACTCACAAACAGCTGCCTCACTAACACCGCTTCCCCCTCCTGCAGTTAAAATTGGATGTGGGTCTCAGGAGGCATTCCAGGGCACCCAAATTAAGAGAGTTAGTCAAAGTTCATCAACAGGGGACCTAAATCTGATGTGGCCGGCGATTTACCCAAATTGACAGCATAGCTAATCCTCTTTCGCTGCAGTCTGTCCATTGAATTAGACAGGACCTGACATGCTGAACCAACTTCAGAAAATCTGTGGAGCGAGGCTCTCTTTAATAATAATGAGTTGTTTGGCAAAAGTCAGAGCTTGAGGACAAACACTTTGTATTTCTTCCTGAGCGGGGTGTGGATGGAAACAATGCACAAGTCATGTGAGGAATTTGACAGACTCCTTGGCCTCAGGGGCCTGATTTGTGCCTGGGAGCAACCTCCCTAGTGCCTTATTGTGGTTCAGCGTCTGCCTATTCCGAGCTGTACAGAGAAAACTGAAAAGGAAAAACACCCCGTCATGCCACCTCTCTCCGCCTTGTTCAGAAGAGGATACTTTTCAAGGTAGTAGGACTGTTTGGCCTAAAAGCTTCAAGAACAAGGTCATGTTTTAGCTCAAAATGTGACGTCCGCGCTCGGCTTAAACACAAAATCTTGAATTCAGGAGTGCGAATAGATGATGGATTTTCCTTTGCTTTTAATTAAGTTTTTCTATGGCAGCTCAAAACAGGATCTTGTCACAACACACCCGAGCTGTGCCTTAAGCTGTTTGGTTAAACCATGTGTCATATCATCATCATTGTTTGGTTTATCTCGGCCTTCCTACCAACGAATGGGCAACGCAGCATTTAGATCTAACTGACAAACCTCTTGGCTTTGTCCCTCACTTGTGTGTTTTTTCAGTGATAGATCAAGGTTTTGGTTCTGGGAGATAAATGATTTGCGTTTAACTTTTGAAAGACCTTTTATTCAAGCTTGGCAAACACATGGATTCATGCAGGCGGCAGTCACACACCATTTGCCTCTAAGTTGCTGCAGGGGCAAGGCCAGATGAGTAACGCCTGTTTTTTTTTTATAGAAGTGACAGTATTGACATGCTGTTTTATAAAAGCGGTCAAAGGTTTAAATTTTTTTAGTTAAGCGTGAGGTTTTCTACAAGTTCTGTCCAGCACCGACTCGTCTGCTCATGCTGCGTCTTCTCATAAATTAGAAACAGAATCATGAAGGCTCAGGAGCATCTCTTTTCTTTTCACATCAAGTTCTTCTCTTATTCTGAAAACTTCTTATTGGAAGTAGTGAGTCAGCCGCAGCATCAATGTGATGCTCATTGTTTGATTTAATGTGACAGATTGCTTGCAGGATAAAATCTGAAATTGGGCAAGGCAACGTAAGTAATTCTTGACTATTAGAAGAAAAGAAAAGATACAGCCGACACTACAGTCAATAATAAACCCCTTTTATATCTATAGTTATTTAGATAAATAGAAAATATATTGAAGATTCGCTGCTTTTTTTCCTATTGTACGTCACTGTAAACTGACGATCTTTAGCTTTTGTCTTATTGGTTTAACAAATCAAGACATTTAAGATGTTTTTATGGGCTCAGTGAAATTATATGGACATTTTATAGACCAAATATTTAGCAGATTGATCGATAATTTAATCGGTTTACAGCCCTAACCACATATGTCTTATCAGTAAAGGGTGTAATTTATAATCACATATCCAAATCAGCTAAATGAGAATTGTCTTTTCCTCAGCTGCAGTTTGTTTGAATCTCATGTTTCTCCATAGTTGAACCTTCCCACCTTTTTTTCTTTTCAAAGGCAATATCAAAGTCGATATTCTGTCTGACTTTCTCTGCCCCTTAACGAATCCGGCAAACAATTGTATAGGGCAAAACATGTTTAAATGTGGGAAGTTATAACCCAAACAGGAAGCGCAAGCCACACCTCAAGCTATATTTTCTCAAAGCCTCGAGTGCCTTTGACAGGCTGCGGAAGACAATGTATGGCCCCTCTTGATTACAGTGTGTTGTGTTCAGGGAACAGATGCTTTTCAGAAACTCGCCCATTAATAAGGCACAAAGGGAGGTGGGTCATTCCTCCTTCCCAAAGTTTAAAAATACCTTGAAGGATGGAAAAAGGCCTGCTCCTTTTTCCTCTGGGCAACAAACATCTTCACCTGTTTTCTAACACAGGATGGTGTAGTTTAAAGGGTACTGATTACTCATATTCATACTTGTGGCAACCAGGCTTGTGTCACACACGTTTACGATCGAGCTCAGTTTCCAGGCTCATTTATCTCCACACGATCACAGCGAGAAACCATGTCTGAAACCACCTTGTCCATGTAGTGGTTGCTTTGACTTCTACAATCTGAACATAAAAACGCAACTGACAATTTTGCGCGTAGATTGACGACTGACTGCAGAGAAAGCTAATTACCATGCAGACAATTGCAACGCGCTGCTGGGTTGCGTGTGGGCTGACGATTAGTCCGCAGATAGATTCCTGCCTTAGCATGCCGAGGTCAGTGACTAGTGTTGTTTTTATTTTTGCCAAGTCTTTGTGCCTGTCCTGTTTTTCAGCTGTGAAGGACTTTTCTCTGCCTCCCTCCAGGTGTCAAGGTTTTGGCTCGGCACCAACTCCACGCAGTAAATTGCAGTGTGGGCTTTCAGTCAGTTTAAAATGTGAATATGTTGAATTTGAGAAAACAAATGTTTTTTTGAGCTAAGCATTTTGAGTTTGTTTTCTGTTTTTCAATTCGAATGTTTATTTCTGCTTACAGGAAATTACTTTGACGGAGAAGAGCCAAGTGTTTGAGGCATGGAAGAATCCACCCCCACCTGTTTATATGGAGTATTACTTCTTCAATGTGACCAATCCAGAGGTGTTCTTGAAAGGCGGGAAGGCAGCTGTTAAACAGATCGGACCATATACTTACAGGTGGGTTTGTTGTGAACATCTAAACTCAAAGATTGAATTGGAAGTAGGGGAGCAGCCTTGTTACACAAATCTTGTGTGTAATTCATCTGGGATCATTTGGTGGATGCTTTGTAAAATCACAACAAAAGATATCCAGACTAACCTGTTAATCACATTTCAACACCAGGGAATACAGACCAAGGGAAAACGTCACATTCCTGGAGAATGGCACCAAGATTTTTGCCCTGAACCCCAAATCCTTTGTCTTTGTGCCCGAGAAGTCAGTTGGCGATCCTACGGTTGACGTCCTCACAACTGTCAACATCCCATTTGTGGTAAGACGTGGTGTCTGTACAGCATAATGTGTGTTGATGTCGTGACCATACAAACCACTTTTTGACATAATTTCCCACAAAACGTCTCACCTTTGCCTCCAATGTTTCCCTTCTCCTTTTCTTCCTCAGGCGGTGATGAACGAGCTGAAAACCTACTCCTTCGTCCTGCGAACTTTTGTCTCCATGTACATGAACAGCCTGGGAATTGAGCTGTTCATGAAACGCACTGTCCACGAGATCCTGTGGGGATTCAAAGACCCCTTGCTCTCAAAGATCCACTCCATGAAGCCTGACGTGGACGACCATTTTGGCCTGATGTGGAAGGTGAGGGGCGGGGGGGGTTTCACTTACTTTGCTCGTCCTGAAAGCGATCGTCAGAGGCTTAAGAAAAACTTTGACACACCTCTCGGGTGATTGTTCAGAGTTACTAAACAACAGACAAGAGGAAGCATGTGGTAGCGTCGTGCAAGAAGTGAGATTCCCCACATGCTGATGGAGGAGGATTGTACTTCCTTTTTTAATTGTCATCACCAGCCTCGTGATGCTGAGGGATGCATTTTCATTAAGATAAACATAACTTAAACCATGAATCGACAATTTTCTTCAAAATAACGATTCATTTAAAATCATTTTAAGTTCAAATCCATGTTCAGCATATTTTTCACAATTTTCCAAAGAAAGTTTTTCTGAGGTCAAACGAGTCAATGTGAAAACATGTTTTTATGTTCTTCAACAAATCACTAAATCCGTCTTTGTGTACTCGTAAGGGGCATATCGGTGACAAATACAAAGCAGCGTTTCTTTCCCATGCTGCTTTGTCAGGAGACGTTAACACTGCCTCTCTGCTGTCAGTCACAGCAGCCTTGACTGAACCCTGTGTTGTTTTCCACAGAAAAATGGCACTCATGAAGGAGAGTTTGTCTTCCACACCGGAGAGGAGAACTACTTGGATTATGGCAAAATTGACACGTGGAACGGCATGCGGTAAAGACTCATATCAGCCAGTGTAGACGCTCTCTTAAAGATTTGATTGTCCCTTTTTTTTTCTCATTGATAGGAAACACTCTCTCGTCAGCACATATCATTTCCGATATTCACATTTACAACCTGCATCTGAAAGTCCAGCGGAGGATTGTAGCAGGGTTGCAAAATTCGTGTTTGTACATCGCAAGTGACTTTGTACCTTGAATTTGTTCAGCACATACAAGTAAAATCCAGCAGTAGCTGGATAGGACTATAAAGTAGAAGTACCAATACCGTTGTGTAAAAAGACTCACTATAAGTAAATCTACTTCATTCAAAGTCAGACTTATGTAGAGATGTAATGATTTGTCATTTTTTGGCCTCAAAGTCTTCTCCTCTATGGAACTTCCTACAGGGGAATATTAGTGATTTAATAAATGATAAATCAAGTTCAATTTGGATTATTTGATCTCTTAAAAGCCCAAAACTTGCTGCTTTCAGCTTCTGTAACATTCAGATTTGAATCTTTTCTTTGCTAAACTGAATCAGTTGTTGATTATGGACTGTGGGAAATTATAAAAATGTCCATGTTTCACTCTATAGACAAACTTATTATATTTACTCAGAAGCTTTTATGAAGATTGACTTACAAGTGAGACAACACTCAAGCTTCAGTACAGGAGGAAACCTCAGAGTCAGCAGTACACACTGAATGTGGTCAATAAGACAAAGTGCAAGGCGATCAATTAAAAAGTGCACAGTGTGAGTTAGGTTACTTCTTTTTTTATTAGAGCTCACAAACCAATAAAGATGGAAAAAACATTCGATCCTCATTGTATTTTAAATCTTTTTTTTTCCCTTCAAAAAATTAATCTCAAAAGGAACTAGTAACTATAGCTGATGCACAGCTTCAGTAAAAAGTAACATGCAGTATTTCAGTATATCCAGAACGATAAATGAAAATACTATGTAAGTTCCTTGTACTTGAATGCAGCACTAACGTAGCTTGTTTTTTCTGAAAATCAACAGCAAGATGTCGTGGTGGTCATCCAATCAGAGCAACATGATCAACGGTACAGACGGCGCTGTCTTCCACCCTCTGATAAACAGGAACGAGCTGCTCTACATCTTCGCTGCTGATCTCTGCAGGTATGTGTTTACGCGCTCATGTGGATATAAAATTTGTTTACGGTCAAAGCATCAAGGCGGGGCGAGGACCAGAACTTCCTGTCAGGTTTGAGGGGCTGAGTCACATGCTGACACATCCACTGATAAGGACAAGAGTAAATTCAAAACACATCTGGGAAGACAGGAGTTTGACCTGAACACACCTGGAAAGCTTATCATACAGGAAGTCATTGTCTCATAGATAACGGCTATTTATTCACAGCTCTAACTGCTGAGGTTAGATTAGAAGATTAAGAGGACGACAACAGCATTTCAGCCTGTCCCTCTTGTTGGTGACTGTTGAGGTCTTTATTTAGACTTCTAAAGTGTCTCTTGGACCAGATCTTATTTTATGATTACCAAAATGAGACACTGTGTCCTGTCCACAGATCCATTCATTTAGCCTATGTGAGCGATGTGGAGGTGAAAGGAATCCAGGCGTACCGCTTCGCACCCCCCAGTGATGTCCTCATGAGCCCCAAGGAAAACCCCACCAACGAGGGCTTCTGCGTGCCAGCCGGAGACTGCCTCGGCACCGGGGTGCTAAAAGTCAGCGTTTGTCGAGAAGGTAGGAACGCCACCCCCGCCCCTGCCATCGAGCCTGACCCAGTTACCCACCACCCACTTCCCTCTCATGACCCCAAACCAGTCCCATGACACCCCCCCCCCCCCCCCCCCCGGTGTCTGGGCCCCTGTGTTTGAGCATACCACATTTTACTCAACCTAGGGTTCATTGATTAACTGCGCTGACTGCATGCAGTGAAGTATTTTATGGTGGCCATTGAGTGTGATTGCTCGGATAAGGTTATCTCTAGAATTGTTGCACGAGGTAGTAGGAAAGGTATGTTACTGTAACCCCTGTTACTGTTTGTATAGTTTACATAAGTTTCTTTACAACATATATTCAGTCTAAAAGTTCTGACAGGTTAAACATGACAAGGGGAGGTTTGCTCCTTTGTTCCCTGTTGTAATTTGGCTAACCGCAGTTGATATTCCTGTTTGTCTACCTGACACAAAGTCCCAGATAATTTGCACCATCTCATTTTTCACTGGTGGTTTTGCCAAGGAGTCTTTCTTCACATTGACTGAGTCATGTTTGTCTCCCTTGTTTCCCTCAAGGCGCACCCATCGTGGTGTCTTTCCCACACTTCTATCAAGCCGACCCCAAGTACATCAACGCCGTCGACGGGCTCAACCCCAACAAGGAGGAGCATGAGACGTACCTCGACCTCCAACCGGTACGACTCTGATACAAACAGATTAGAGCCATGTATCTGGTTTATGACGATCTTGTCTAAATGAGAATAGTTGTTTTGATTGTAAAGCTTTTTTTTTGCATTAAGGGTTCCTTTGTGGGGCTTTGTGTTTGGTCATTTTACATTAATTATGTACGATATACATAGCTTTAGCTTTCTTACAATATTTATATATTTAGCAATTTAATTAAAAGAAATTGTGAAAATAAATACCTACATGGAAGTTAAGAAAATTCAGAACGTGAAGGCAGAATAAACGATCACCAAAATTCTAAATTTTTTTATTTTAATGGAGAAAAGAAAAGATATTGTAATATTCACTGAAACTTTTCTCCTCAGTCTGATAATAATGTCTTTGCCTCTTCTTTATTTAGACTACAGGAGTTCCCATTCGTGCCTGCAAGCGAGCCCAGCTCAATATCATCCTGAATAGAGTCCAAGGCTTCCCGTAAGTTGAACTTTGCTGAACCCTGACCCACTTCCCTGTTGCCACATTCTGTCCCAATTTCATTTTGGCCTCATGTTGAGCCAGATGTTCTCTCTGACCTCCATGCCTCTCTGTGTCTCTCTCTTTCTGCCCCGCAGCAAAACCAAGTATATTAACGAGACCATTTTCCCCATCATGTTCGTCAACGAGGTGAGGACCCCCCCCCCTTTAGCACCAACTGAAACAAAGCTGTTCTGATGAGTGTAAATCATAAGTCAACTCTGTCTCCTCTCTCGAACCGTAGACGGCGACAATTGATGATGATTCGGCTTCCCAGATGAGGACGCTGCTCCTGATTGTGACGCTGGTGTCAAACTTCCCCTTGCTCATCGTGGGCATGGGCATCATCCTGCTGCTGGTGCTTGTAGTCTTGTTCTGCCGAAACCGCCAGAAGAAGGTAGGAACCGCCGCTGGTTCAGTGGCATTAATAATCCTGGAGTGTAGTGTCATTAATCCCCCACAGTTTTCCACTGACATGAGCTTATAGCGTATATGGGACCTAGAGTAAAGCTGTCGTGATGTGTCACTGTTTTTAAAATGTTGACTGGGTTTTTGCATGATGAACATTTTTCATGCACTAACCTCGCCCAGCTGCTGCAGGTTTAACCCCCCCAAGCTTACATGCATGTTAACTAACACACTGCATGATTCCTGCACAGCAGAGCTTGCATGAGCCGTTTCTACAATTCTGGATCAAATGTTTTATTTTTTTATTTTCCTCGCTGAATATTTTTCTAAAAGTCGATGAATCGACAAATCTGTGTATTTAGAAAGAAAGTATCTAAGCTCCCTTTTGGTCCGTGAAGCTGTGACCTGTCGTAGCACTGCTGAGGGCTTTGAACTAGAATAATCCCGAATGAAGAACCGCACATGTTCACCTCTTATCTCCGGTAGTTCAGGATTGCTAATATGAACTCTGGCCTTTCTGGCTCCTGTATTGTTGTAGTTCAGGTTATTCATTGTCCAGATAGTGGTGTTTTACAGTGTTAGTTAATTTTATGGGACATATTTGCTTTTTAGATGAGAATATTCATGTCTGTTTTAAATATGTGTGAATATGAATAAAGCCAGGAGGTAGATAGCTTACCATAAAGACTGGAAGAGGGTTAATTGGCTCGCCTGACTCTGTCCAAAGGTAAATACCCACACCAAACTTTTAACTATTTCTTTTTATACAGATTAAAAAAAACACCAGATTTGTCTGGATCTCGTTTCCTTTGGACAGACTTCAGCCTCATACTTGCATTGACTGTTTTTGCTTAATTGCAATGTGACAAAGTGTTGTATTAACATGTTCTAATTTTAATTTTCTGTAACCCCCCCTTTTTTCCTTTTCTGTTTTAGAATGAAGTAAAACGTATTGATTTTACTGAAGCTTTTCATTCTTTTACTGTAAGTCTTCTTTTTTGCCTTGTTTGCTATTCTCATTTTTCAATTTGTTATCCATCATCTCTGATTATTATCATTTTTAATTGTCTTTATGGGACATAATATTCCCTTTGAGTTCTCGCCTCACAGTGTAATTGGTTATTGTTTTATTACGTTCATATTTTTTCGTAACTGCTTCATATTGAGGTTGTGGTGGTGGTTTACTGTGAACATCAGTCAATCCATTTATTCCCATGTCAACGTCTGTCCATTTTGTGACTGTTTGGACGTCTTGCCACTGGTTTGTACTAACACCTCTTGTCCTGACTCTCTCTGTCCAGACGGCAAAAGACGACACGGCTTACACTCAGGTCAGCGACAAACCAGACGAGCCGTCGGAAGCGTCAGCCACCCAGCCAATGAAGAACGGCTCCTACATTGCCATGTCTCCAGTGGAGGCCCAGAAGTGTTGATGGAGGATTGCCTGGTCAAGCTTGGAGCTCAGGAAGGGGGCTGAGGGAGCAGCGCAGGGGTGATGCATTAACCACGGGTGGGGGGTTACACACAGTGAGCTCGTTTCACATATTTTGGGAGGGGGTGGGGAGGATGGGGAAAGGGGCGGGGCAGAAACCCCAGTAAATGTTTAGTCAACAAGGACAATGCTACTCTCGCTGAGCCCTCTTATGACTGTCTGTCCTCCTCTACTCTACCTGCTGAGCATGGCACTAACTGCCTGCCATACTGCAACACAACAAACTCCCACACCTTTACTCCTCATTTCCGTACTGGTCGGCCCGGAAACACGTCGGGAGTCTGGACGGGCTCGGCCAGAACAAGCCTTTTTCCGTAACTCTTCTGAAGGACCACAGTAGCATAGGTTTCGCTGCTGCACAAGGATGCATGATCTTCTGCTGACTAAAATGGCTGAAAGAGTGTTTATTACTCACCTAAACAGCAGTGGGTGTCATATTCTTGCTCTTTCCTCTCCATTGGTGTTGCGTGAGGAGAAAACTTCAAACTGACAGATTAAAAAATCCCCTGTAAACTGGAAACTTAGGACACAACTGTGAGCTCTTGAGCTCAGAGGATAACATGGTTTTGCTAACAAAACTGAACTTGGCATATCCTTTTTGTAAAAAAAAAAATATTGAAGAAAAAACTGTCTGAGCCAAACTATTTATAGCATTTTTGCCTTTTTTTTCCTAAGATGAATTGGTGCGCGCGCACACACACCGCACTTCCAAGTATTTGTTAGTGAAAGTGTTTGTGCACCTTTATCGAACACGTCGGCGTCCTGTTTTGATGGACAATGCTCAACTTGATTTCTTGATGCAGACGCATGACACCTGAAATACTCGTGATTTTAACCCCACTTCCTCATTTTTTTGTCAGCCTCACTTTTTTCCAAAACACTAGTTACAAAAATACACTCAGTTTCATTTCAGAGTCCTAATTCGTTGAAGTGTTAGTAGCCAGATATGAGGATCACCAACAGTAGCTCGAACCTTTAGGCCTCGTCACACATTCTGAACATAAAGGAAAAAAAAACCACCCACAGATCTTACAAGGGAGACTTGAACCTGCTTTCTGCCTTACAACGGTTCAGTGTGTTCTTTATGTTTCATACATATAAGCTGGAAATCTCTTTTCGCTATTGTACATATGTAAAGGGGAGACGTTACAGAGATACCACTTACCAAATCCAGCAAGCAGTCCTCCTATAGCTGTGCAGAGAGACGCTGACTTTGCTCTGGTGTCGACCGCTCCTGCACATCTACACTGTTACTTATTAGAGAAAGCACAATTTGGATTGCTAAAAACCATGCCTGACACAAGGCCACCAGGTTTTTTTGGGTCCTATTATAATTATATATATATATATTTACAGCTTATATGTCAAAGACACTGTCAAGTGCCGTGACTCTTCACCACTCGCCGCTGTGCAGTCGTACAGTTTGCCAAGGAAACTGTTGGCATTCAGGCAAACGCAGCACTTGAATCACTGTTTGTCTTACGTTTCCTGTTGTGTCTCCAGTCTTCTGCCATAATACTGTCAAAATGGAAAGTTCCCTGCACTTTGCCTGCATATTGTGTCCTGCGTGTTTTTTCATGTTGTTTATTTGTCCTTGTCATTTCGATGAAGGTGGTCCATAAGTTCAGTACATTTCAATGGTTTGTCCCGGCTAGTATTGGTTCTGATGATGTTTTCAAGGACACTGGACGTCCCTGCCTCTGTGTTAACTTGCTTCTCAGCACATAGAGTGTCTTCTTTTGATATACTTTTGTATTTGTCATTGCTGCTAAAAAAATGCCATAACCTATGGACTTGTATTTACCATAACTTGCTCGTTTTCAGGTCGACTCACACAGGCTTTTATCCACGTCTTAAATCTTTAAGGTTTTCTGTGTTGACGAGACTTTGGCACCTGAGCACAAGTACAAAGCCCAAAGCTTGCTGCCATTTATTGGACTAAGCAGTTATCACTAACCACATTTTTGTAAAGCTATTACGGTTAACCAGTCATACCACTATTAGTAGACCATATCACATGTATCATTGGGGTTTGTGAAGGGGTTAGTTAACTTGACAGAAAGGACGAGCCGCTTCAGCATCATCTGGATTGGTGTCAGAAGTTGTTTGATAACACTGTGGTGGAGAATCCTTTAAAGCAGAAGTTCAACACTGTGGGGAAATGTGCTCGTTGAGTTTCTCATGGAGAGAAGGATGACAAGATTGATGCCGCTCTGATGCTGCTTAATATGAAACTGGAGATGTTCACTTAGCTTAGCACAAAAACTAAACAGCCTGGCTCTGTCCAAAGGAAACAAAATCTATAAAATATTCATTGTTTCAGTCATTTTCAAGCAGAAATTTGACTTCAGGTTCTCAAATGTGAGACTGTGCTGCTTTCCTCAGTCTTGAATTATAGTAAATTTCATACTTTTATATACTAGACTGAGTTGGATAAAACTAAACTTTTGATGATGACTGTTGAAGGATGTTGTCATGGGCATTTAACAGTTTTGTTTTTATGACCTTGTGAAAACTACGCTTCGCCATTTTATGGGAAGTTTTGTTCCAGAGTACTTTCTCAACTCCTGAAAGATACAGCATCAACAAATAACTTGTCCCATACCTAAAAAAAAAAAAAAAGATCTTTATGCTAAAATAATCTTTGCTTGCTCCAGCTTCGTATTTAACGCACAGATACGTGAATTTCTCATCCGTCTCTCCACCAGAAAGTGAATGAGCGTGTTTGAACAGTTTCTTTGAAGTGAAATCGATTCACTAAAGCCTTTTTTTATTTCACCTACATGAAAGAAACCTCCATCTTGTTCAAACACATAGTTCCTCATTGTTCACCTTTTTAAAATCTCTACTTGAACCTGAAAGACCTTAATCCTGAGAGGATGTGTGTGTTGCTTGTGCAGTGTCTGTTCAAACACACACACACATACACACACCTGACCCATCACTGCTCCACTCGTCTGACTTCTACTACATTGACCTTTGAGTCCAATCCTTCAAACCCATTGGCTCGTCCCTGCTTGACCAAAGATAACCCACATTGATCTGCCCCAGCGCAGTGTGTACTCTCCTCTGCGATAACGGCTGTGCCACAAAACTACCGCCTACCTTTTTTTTTTTTTGATTTGTGCCACCACTTATGTGAAGTATTTACAACAGTGTTATGTGTGCGTGAAAGCATGAATGTGCCTTTTTAGATCAAGGCAAAACAATAAATAAATCACAGAGGGTAGTATGACGTGTATTGCTTTTCTTCACCTAGTGCAAAAGGAATTAATCAATGCTCTTTGTGAGCAGAGAAAATCTCAGTATAGAGCAATACAGAGCTGTGTAAAATACATTGTGGATGTTTTGTAAGGGCCACATAATATTTATGTATCTTTTTTTCCTGTGATTTCTGTTAGTTTCACTTGTGTAGGAGTATTTTCCCTTTTCTTTAGTTTGAATTCAGTTGTTTTATTTTGTAATATTTTGCTTGAGTTCAAGCACATTTCATTTCTGTTCATCATTTCATTTTTTTCACACTGAAAAATCCCAGAAAGTGTAAATGTTGGACCAGTTTGTTGCACTGGGACGAGTCAGAGCCCTGTAAAAATGTCTGTAAGAGTGTCCATGAATGGTTTCATTTGGGTGTTTGTGTTTGAGTAAGAGAACTAGTGAGTAATGCACCATTTCTGTTAAACTGGAGTGATTTTTCTGGAAGGCTGATTATCTTGATGACTGAATAAGTAAAGCATTGATGCTGTGTAATCTGTCTAGATGAATGACGCCCTCCTTCAGGGATGAGCACTTGTGCCATACCATCCTTTATTGATTTATTTTCCTTAATTTGCTCCTCGGTGTAACAAACCCATCCCCCAATCTCGATGTTCGAAAGTCACTAACAGACATTTCCTCTTAAGATATACTAATTTTGTTTTGCTGCTGAAAATGACAATCCCCTTGTCATGTTGGGTGCAAAATGATTTCAAAGTAATATCCATTTTTAGTTTTGATAAGTTACACTGCACAGATGTTTCTACAGTCCTTTTGTAAACATTTCTAGTGTATTTGCAAAAAATAAAAGTTGCACTGAAGTGCAAAGTTCACACGGTCTTCTTCTTTCTTTCGTTTAAGTGTCTGTGGAGAAATAAAAATAGCACCTGTGGAGGTAGAACTGCAAAACCAGAAAGTATAGAAGTTAGTCAGATAATGATTTGTTTTTAATCTATATTTTGAGAATGTCACTTTAAACAAGGCATATTTTCAAAAAAAAATTCTACCTTATGTTGAATCAAATAGTTGAGACAATTATTGGCAGAGTAACTGATAATAAAATAATAGTTCCAGCTTTGGTGTTAACGAATAAACTCCTTATTGTGGGGTTTTTTTCTTCCAATTTTTTTTTAAATAAACCATTGAGTTGATGGCATTAAACAATCTATTGAAAATTTAGTTTGAAGTTCAACTGAATCAAATGTTTTGCGTCGAGGTGAAAACATGAGCTCCTTGGTGGAAGGTAAAAAACTAATGTCATCAAGTCAGTCACTGGGGCCAATCCAACTTTTACCTCTTTTATATATATTTACTTTTAAGGATGTGAATATTTCTTCTATCACTGGATTAAATGCAGTATTTACATGGTTTCAGTGAGGCAATGTGTTAATAACTATGATAATATTTTTCCGCTCAGGCCTTTCTGCTGCACTTTTTTTTCCTCTGTGAATAACTTGGAAAAAAAAGGAACATTTCTTGACTCACCTTTTGCATAAGAACTGAATTAACTCAGGAAACCACCCTTTTGTGCAAAAGAGAGATCGGAGTTGCCAAACAGTTGTGACTCTTCCTGTTGATTACCCTTTTCACCTCAGACTTTTCTTTCCCGTATGTGAAACATGCAGCCGAAGAGCAACAAGTTCAGGCAGCTTTTCTGGGACTTCAAGACGTCAACGTGTTTATGTGACAGATAAATTGTTCAATCCACGTGGGCAGTTACATGCGTGCATAATGGCAGCCTCTCTGTTCATTATTCTAAGTGGCAGCCTTGGGGCAGCTGCATATCACTGTCTTCTCAGTCTTCTCATATGTGTCTGCCCTTGTGATGATCATTTCAGGGCCTGCAGGCTTCAACACGTACAGACTGTCTTCCTCAGTCAGGCCTGTTCACTTTTGTTGGGACTCGATCGACCCTCTTTTGAGTCGATGCTCTTGTTTGCTTGCACTGCAACCCTGTCTCCTTAATATTACAACTAATCTGCAACAGCAAATATGTTTTTGTACAATATGTAACTTTGAGCGGACGGCGTTTGGACACAGTGACTATCTTCGGCTGATTACATCATTCAGTCTCATGCAAGTGTTTCTAATTTCTAAATTCATTTCAGCTTTTGTTATGCAGTTTTTGATCTGCTCTTAAGCATGGTGTCCTTTTATCAGTACAAACTCAAAGACATTTAAACAACCGTGTGTTCAGTGGGAATTTTTAGAACATGCAGAATGTGAAGTTTGTCTGCAGACAAATATAGAATTCATTGAAGACCCTTCTATATTGAAAGAATATCTACTTGGGTATAAATGTGGAAAACAAAAGTTGCTCATAAACTCATCACAACAAACAATTTCTGATATCTATGATTATAATATAAAGTCTATTTCCCTTCAAATGAACACAGAAAAGTGCGGGTTCATGTGAGGACCTTTGAGATGCTCCAGTTGACTGATTCCGAAGTCTTTATTAGAGCAGAGCTCCAGCAGCTTTACAACTGTAAGACCACCTGCAGACAGTGAACAATAAACGCCCCTCCTCCGACACACTGGAACAACTAGGCCTAACTGCCCCCATCTTTTTGTCCCACTTCTCACCACTGTGAGTTTTTATGTTGAGTGTTTTGGTGGCTGGATGTGAAAAGCAGCAGGGTGGGAGGGTTGGCCTCCATCCCTGGAGCAACATGCCGATGATTACCAGCCGTCCAAGAACAAGAATAAAGAAATACTTACTTTTTCATTTACCTTTTTACCAGAAGAAGAAAATGAGACCACACCCGTGTCTTTATTAAATATGAAGCCTTGATGACAAAGCTAGCTCTGTTAAAACAAAATCCACTGCTCCACATTTTAAAGCATTATCACCTCCACTCAGGTGTTTCCATTTTCCACTTGTGTTTGTTTGTTTATTTGTTTTCATGTTTGTTTGCAGGACTGAGTAAAAACTACCAAGCGGACCAATGTTCCCACCAGATGTGGTGGAGGGACGGGGCCTGCAAGGAACCGTGCAGATGGTTTTCCTTCAACCAAAATTTTGTGACCAATGATTGGATGGATGGATAAATAGATAGATAGATAGATAGATAGATAGATAGAAGGCTAGATGATTGTTGAAGGTATATGTGCTCTGAGACTCATTGTATTATTATTGTATTATTTACCACATTTGGAGGAGAGGTTTATAACGTGCAGAAAAACATGAACAGGAAACTGCAAATTAGGACGCCAGAGGAAACTTGAACAATCCACAATGTTCTCTTTACCCAGGAGTTGCTTCTCTGCCAACACCTCTGAGGACGATGTGTCCTCTCCATGTAAGTAAACTTTAGTTTGAGCAATATGCTTTTTAAACCCTTGTTTAAACAGCACAGAACCAGCACTTCAGAATTATCCCTGATACTGCTAAAAGCCTGAGGTTTTTCATTATCTCATACCGGAGACTTGTGCCTTGTGAAATCCAAGTGGGAGGCTATAACTTGTGTTTAATAATCACTAACCAGTTGTTGCACAATTATTATCATATAAAATCACAGTGAGTACTTTTTCCATCTATAATCCCAATCATCAGTTCCAACACGCTGGGCTCTAGGGGACTTTTTAATTGTAGTCCACGAGGGTTCAGCCCTGTTTTATTTAGAAATGAATACTTTTAGCAACAAAACATTTCAAGTACTCATAAAATGACACATTGCTGTAAATTAAAGTACCACACAGTATACACTAGTAGGGCTATTAGTTGATTGACTGAAAATGTACTATTTTCTTCATTGTCAGTCACTATTATTCATTGTTTCTTCTACACAAACGTGGCAATTTGCTGCTTTTCATTGCAAATGTTTAAAATATTTAGATTTAGTGTTTAGTAATTCTAGTTTTTAACTATTGGTTGAACGAAACAAGTGAAGTGCGAGGGTTGTTCTTTCTTTTACAAACCAAACAATCAGTTGATTAATCAAGCAAAGTAGTTAAATCTATAATGAACAAATAAAAATTAGCTGCAAAAAATATTTTTATGGTTGTAACCTATTCAACCAGCCACTGCAGTAAAAGTGTAAAAATAATGTAATGATGCAATCTAACAGTTTAACTGTCAAATGAAGGACTTTGACTTTTAAAGTTTTTTTACAGTGTGATATTAGTACTTTTACTAGGTAAGTAACATGAGTACTTTCTCTACTTCTGCTCTCACAAGTTGTGTAAAATGGCCTTTTGTGCCCCCCACTGGTTGCTCTGAAAAGTAATATGACGACTGAAAAAAAAAAATGAAGGTGTCCAAATGGAGCAGGAATCAAAAAATCCTGACAGTGCTATTGTGGGAACGTTTTTATTCAACTATGCATTCTGAGAACATTCAGCTCAAAAACATCATGCTTTGACATTTTTATCATTATTTGCTTTCTTGCAGAATTAGATGAGAACAATCCAGATTATCAAACCATCCCTGTGACTGTGCTTTACAGCATTTAGGATGAAGACGTATTAAGCCTAAAGGCAAATGAATATAATAATGAATTCTCTTGTTTAGACAAGTTTAGGGAAATAATCCCACCTAAAGGATCCGGTACATGGTGGTCATTTGGCATCATCATCATCATTACCATTAGTGCAACCTAGACTTAACTTCATCTCTAGAAGTTAAAATCTTCTTCTACTGCCAAGGCACCATCAGCATTTAGTTGCAAATACGTACTGTAGTGCTCATTGTTGAGTTGCACAATTATCTCTTGAAATCATGTGGGTTGTTTCGTTCAGTTTGTTGACCTAAAAAGTGTAAAATAAAAAGAAGCACATCTTCCACACACTGACCCACTGAGAGCTTTAAACCACACATATGAGTATGAGAGTTAACCAGTGTCCTGCAGTGTTAAAGCAAGATAATAAAACGCTGCAGCTCCCTAACCATTTCTATGCATTTTAAACTAATTAAATCTAAGTGGAATTAAAATGCATTCCATTCAACAAACGTCTGGAGTCAGTGTGCAGGTGTTACTCTGCACTTGCAAAGTCAAAACATATTCTGTTGTTACAAAAAATGAAATGCGAACAGGAGGACAAAAAAAAAAAAATCGATCAATCCTCAGTGATCCCAGTATCTCTACAATAATAATCAAGCAGCCAAAACTGCCTTTTTGTTTGTGTTTGTTTTTACTCGCAACTATTCAAACTAGATAAAAGACACAAAATTCTTCTTCATGTGTTTCACCCACACTTCTTCTTCAGTGGATAAAACTGATTCAGAAAGGGAATTGAATGCCCTGAACTCTGACCTTCCTCTGATCCCATGCGATCAACACAGCAGCTGTTCAGGAGCATCCTAAGTCTAAACGTGCGTCACTGGCGAGCAGCCTGAGCTGAAGTCGCTCTCTGTTTTCAGTCTTCACTCCGGCACTCTGCTCAGATGTTGGGGTCCTCCTCTAGCTTGGTGAGGTCGGTGGCCGTGCCCATGAACATGCTGCGCCCTCGCTCCAGCCGGCTCTTCTTGTCCGTGAGGCGGAAGGCCTCCATGAACTCATCAATGTCGATGCTGCCGTCCTGGTTGCTGTCAATGGTGACGGACAGGTCGGAGATGGCCTCTTCCGTGATTTCCATCTTTAGGTAGACGCTCAGCAGCTTCCAGGTCTGCCGAAAGTCCTCGATGGTGATGAAGCCTGAGGAGGAGGTTAAAGGTTAGGATGTGACAGCTGGAATGAAGGGAAGGGAAAAGATATTCATGATGTGCGCGCTGTTAAAGGAAAAAATTTGTGTCACTGTGTGGGTGTAGATCACTGGGTTAATCCTCATCTTAACTAGGAGGATTCAGGAGGCTGTAACCTGCTGTGGCCTCTTTGGCACACAGGGAGGCTTA